CCTCCCTGGGCTGCCAACTGTTTTTATAGATTGAAATATTAGAGAAGACCATTGAAGGAAAATTTGAATAATGGTCTGAGATGAAAAGTGAACCAAACCATGAACCATGTGAGAGGGGGGATAGAGTTCTACAGGGTTTTTAAAACAAGGATTTAGGGCGATTCGCGCCCCATTTTAATATTAGTTTTTTGTTTTGCTTTGTTGATGGAGTTCCCCAAATTTAGAAAATAAATTTTTTTGCAGCTCATACTTAATTTAAAAAAATTGAAACCGTTTCGACATTTAAATACAAATTAATAAGAATTAAATTTTTTTTTCTTCTTTTTATCTATTTCAATTTTGTTATTACTGACACCTACCCTATATATCCCTGTGGATATGAAGCAAAGTTACCAAAGGGATAACCGGGTAGTCCCTAAACAAGAAAAAATTATTTGATATAATCTTAAAATATCTATTTTGAAGGTTTACACCAGAAAATATATTTTTATATAAATAATCTATAGGTTTTATTGCAAAATATAAAAAGAGTTTCCAAAAAGGAATTGCCTAAATGCACTGCCAAATCAGGGATTATGAAAATTCCACTAAATTCGAACCAATCAATACTGTATATTTTTATATTTCGTTAAAATCAAGTGGACTTTTAAATTTAGAAAGTGATTCTAAAAGTTATCATCCTATTTCAGATTTTTTGGCTATCACTGTGCGACATTTAAAAAGTGATTTTGGCGATATCAACCTGAATTGTCCTATGACTGAAACTTACAGACAGTCATCACTAAAGTGTCATTCTTTGTGGGTAACCCTGTTTTCACAAATAAAGCACTATGAATTAGACAGAAGGATTTTTACTGCTACGACTTTGTAACCTCGACTTTCTTCTAGCTTTCAGTTTAAGTTTACATATTAGATATTCAAAACATTTTGGTTTTTCTCAAAAAGATGAGAAGAATTTGAATCTTACGTTTGAAGTAGTAAAGCACTGACCTGTAAGTAGCTTGACTGTGCTGCAGCTATAGGTTGTGGTATATAGTATCCAGGTATAGGTTGACCAGTGGAGAATGAATAGGGAAACTGTGCTCCAGGTAGAAGCTGGGGAATTGCAAGCTGAATAATAAAATACAATATAATAATATTTTTACCACCAAGATTAATATGTTTATTTCCGTCCAAAAATCGTATACTAGGACAGACCCGTTTTTTTAAAGACAACTTACAAGGCAATAGTAGTTGGCTGACCATTAACTTGAAACTGCTGAACACTGCTGGGATATTGCATCATGACTCCCTGCTGCTGCGCCAGTGCTGCTCCCTGCGCAGCTTGAAGCGCAGCTTGTTGACTACTAAGTCCGCCTGTTGGACCGTTACTGCCGGCAGCTGTCTGCCCAGGAAGCCCATAAGCAGCTTGAACAGCTTGAACGCTGGGGCAGCTAAACAAAATGGACGAATTAAAAAAAAAAAACGATAAAGTTCTGTGAGATCTTCGGGGCTAGTCACACTTATCTGATTTGTTAAACATTTTGTAGCTGTGATTTAACTACAAATTCCCAGGCTAGAGCTACAGGCGAGGATATCGCTGCTAGAAAATGTCTAAAAATCTGACAACTGGTTCTTCCATTGATTAAGAAACTTTATATGAAGAGTATAAAATAACGTTAATCCATCAATCAGCATATAGTGTACTTTTCTTCCTATTTATTGATTACTATTCAAGTTTTTGGCTTTAAAAAGATTTAATATATTTTAAAATGTTTATAAAATTATGCAAAATGTCAGAAAAAAAGATAAATTTAAAAGTTGGTTAAACACCTCATATTTTTCTGGAACCAAAACACTAAGACCAGATTAAAATTAAGCGGGATATTTTAAAATTATGTTTGAATAAGAATAAATTGACAGCAAACCTCTCAAAAATATGGCTTTGCCAGTTGACTGCCGATTTTGTCTTCACATAAAGTTTACAATCAAATGGGATAAAAATTGATATAGAAAAAGTACAATGGTAATATAAAATTTTATAAAATCTTATTAACAAAGTCCGTCTAAAAAAAATAACAATTTAACTGTAAATTCTATTAAATTAAATAATCTAAGTTGGAAGTATCAAAGGTTACAGGTTTTTAACATATAGGGATTCGAACATTTGAGTTTGAGGCAACAATCGATTACGAGTACGAGTAAACACTAGACAAGTCAATATAATGTGCTGGTTAGGATTCTCTACCTGTCAAGAGACTTAAGACCGAAGGTGGTGTAGGGGCTGTAGATGGTGGGGTTCTTAGACCAGAGCCCTGCCTCCTCCCCCTTCATCCCCGGCTCCCTCAGGGTCCCTAGGATCGGCTGACTCAGACCCATTTGAGCATTGACAGCATCCAGTACACTGGATCTACAATTGGAACTATTACAATTACAAATATGATAATTAATACTATTGTGTCATTGACCGAGGCCAGAATGAAGGAAAGTGTCAAAATAATTTTGTAATTAAAGAAATAATTTTTTTTTTAAATAATTTTATTCTAATAAACTNGAGAATGAATAGGGAAACTGTGCTCCAGGTAGAAGCTGGGGAATTGCAAGCTGAATAATAAAATACAATATAATAATATTTTTACCACCAAGATTAATATGTTTATTTCCTTTATTAATATTATTTTTATTATTTTGCAAAACTTAATTATTTTTTTTCTGAGTTAGCCCCCCCCCCCCCTCCCTCTGATTTAATGTATTCACTTCTTAGATTAATATTTTACCCCTAGATAAATGGTTTTTACTCTAGATTAACATTTTTACACATCTTAGACAGTTTAAGGAAAAGATAAAATATCAAGATAAAGATCAAGATCAAGATCAAAATAAAGATCAAGATCAAGATCAAGATTAAGACCTTGGCTGGACCTGGATAAGTAAAAATATTGCAACTATCCAGAAAAAAATACAAACGTATTTACAATTAAATAACACTGTAAACTCCGGTTAAGCAATAATACGGTAAACATACAGACAATATAAGTCCAAACAGGACAGTAACCAAATGAAGTATCCCTTTCTAGTGATATGATGAACAACAACATGGATACTAGAATGTGTGGATAAGACAGAGATCTTGACAGGCTACATTTGTTGCATAAAACGTGCTGGGACGACTCTACACTTGGTGGTCCAGACTGGACAGTCCGACTGAATGCATATACAGTAGATGCTGTACCGGCACGGATCCGAAAACTTTTAGAGTATGTTGAAAGTTGAAGGCTGAGCTAAGAATCTCAAAAATTTATAAAATCCATGTTTCTCTTGTATTGGAAAATTCTCCAAATGTTTCGGATCTTCCGAGGGTGGGATAAGTTTTGATAAGAGATTTTTCACACTTTACTCCCAGATTCTCCATTTTTTTGATACATTTCAAGAATCGTTTTTTTATTATTTATTAACGACGATGAAAAATGTAAAACATATTCTACAGTAAACAACAGTTGTTAAGGAACATATTTCTCAATAGAAATTTGTGAAGAAATCAATTGTAGAATATATTATTTCTTTATCATCATGATATTCAATATTTTTATCATTTATAAATTTGTTCGGAGATTTCTTAAAATTCTTCAAATGTCGTCTTTTCAACTAATATTTCAAGAAATCTACGGAAAACGTTTTTTAAAAACAAACATTACAGCAACTGTTCTATAATGTTCTATACTCGATTCAATGTTTGGTTTGCAAGGACGGAAAGAAGNGGGGAGGGGGCTTATTGTTGTTTTTATGAGATAATTTTTCTTTATATAAATGTAATATTTATTTATTGGATATCTTGTAAACTTAAAACATTTTGTCAACGTATCTTCATAAAAATATTTACAGGACACTGATGAAAGTTTGGAGGGGAAAAAACTGAACATTTTGATTCAGCTTTATCAAACTTTTTAGTAAAGATTTTATGAAAACAAAACTTTTTAAAGCGTTATAGATCAGAGCCCGCGATTTAACAAACTCGGGTCTAAACTGTCGTTGGACCTTATTTTAGTAAATGTAGTTAATATGCAGAAACTTCTTTTTTTCTTCACCCTATCCCAATTGGGCCATTTTTGTCTAATAATGATTAGAGGGCCGGAGGAGGGGGGGGGGAAGGGTCCTTCCCCCTAAATGAATTATTTTAAAAAATATTAACATGCGACATGGGCTATTTTTGATTTTTATTTCAAACACCGACCAGCCGTTTTGACTGTCCTCCACTCTACCCTAATCATAAGGCTGTGATTTGAATCTATTCCCCAATAAATATATAAGGTATAGGGTATACCTGAAGTACCTGACTGTTTGTAGGAATATTATTAGGATCTCCACTCTCCTTCCCCCAGCTGCATTTTACAGTATGTCCTGCTACATCTGTGTTATGTGTAGCTACAATTGCATGTGCAGCTGACTCTTTGGTAGAAAACCTAAAAAATGTCGATTTCCTTTATTGTTTCTGAAGTAAGAAAACCGTATGTGAAAATAATAAGTTTTTAAAATCAAAAACATGGGTTTCTAATTAATACTTAATCTGACAAAATACCGGTCTTAATCGGACATCCAATCTATATATGCAGAGTGTTAGGTGAAAATACCTTTACAGTCCTTTAAATCCTACAGAATCCTTATTTACGCCCCTGGCACCCCTCTCCAACCCCACCCCGCCCACATTTAAAGATTATTTCTGTTTAGACAGAATAACAAAGATATTTTTATCACTTGTTTTTCTCATAAAAACATCTTTATAGATGAAATTTAGTTAAACGTTTTTTATAAAAATGTAAAATTAGTTAATGGTAAAAAATATAAATTGAAATTTATTCTTCAAAAAACTGACAAAATTCATGGAATTCGTTCAAATGTCAGAATAAAACGTACTTAGAAATACAAAACAAATATATACAAGGCAAACTGCGAGCTTTCTATCATTACTTTTCTTTTTAACTGATACTTAACTTACTCACTCCACTTTCAATCTTTTATCAAATAAATAAATGCCATTTAAAGAAAAATTTACATTGTTAACAATTGTGCCAGCTGATTGATATTAATTTTTCTTTAAAAATATTATTTATATTAAACTTGTAGTTCAAGTTTGCAATGAAGAACTTATTTAATTATAAGTTTTAACGTTTTTATTCAAGTATAATGTTGTGAATTGGAAAACAGCAATTACGTGAAAAGACCCTTTAAAGGGACTGTACTCATAATTTGAACCAAATCTTCATGCAAATATGGCAATACTTGATTTAAAATGGTACCCATAGAAGCTTTGTCTGATCAAGTATGAATTAGATAATATCAATGTTTATAATTTTGTAAACTGATTATTTTCTATTTTAAATTTTGATTTCTCTACAAAAGTGAATTGCGCAATTCTGCTGCAGGAAGACGTTTCGGAATTTTCTGAATAAAATACTCTCAAATCTAGAAATCATTATTGATCAGAAAAAGGTTTCAAGGGTACCGTTGTGATTCGGAATTGGATGGAGCATGTTAGAAATTTCTATCAACATGTACGAAATCACGATTAACATGTTCGAAATTTCAATCTACATTTTCGAAATTTCGATCAACATATTCGAACTTTCGACCATGTTTGTAAAATCCAGATGTTTCTGTATAATTCAATAGCTAAAGGTCAGATTCAAAAGAGAAAAATATATTTACCTGACAAAAGCATAACCTTTGTCCTTAAAAATCCTAATCTCCTGAATGCTCCCAAAGTGCGCAAAGGTTTTCTGCAGGAGATCTTCAGAAAGACCTGAATACGCCAGAGCTATACAAAACAAACATATAATCAGCAGTACGTACAGTATGCACAGCGTGTCCCCAACAAATCTTAAATTGAAATAAAAATTGGAAAACAAGTTCTTATAGGACTGATGATAATGTAAAAAAAATCATCGAGAACACTTTTAAACAATTTGGATTTTTAAAATTTGGAAACACCTTGTACGGTAGAAGTTTTGAACATATACCTGTACCTGTGTTTATGCCTCCGCAGTACACTGTACAGTTAGTAGGTGAGCTCTGATTGTACACTTCATCGAAGCTAAGGGGTTTAGCATTAACTGAAAAAAAAACATTTAAGAATGTACAGTTCAAGTTAAAGTTGATTCGAAAATTCGGATTCTCTGCAAAAAATTCCTACTCTGTCCTATATCATTTTGTTTAATTATTATTATTATTTTTTTGTTTTTAATTGTTCATTAAAATGATTTTTTTGCAACTTATGATTTCCTGAGTATTTATAAAAACTACACATGCCTATATTTACTTACTGAAAACTAAAAAAGAAGGGAAAATTTAAATTACTGACACAACTTTGTGACCTTGTAGCTCCAATAGTTTTGATGAGAAATTTGGTTACATTATATAAATTCAAAATTTGATTGTTCTTCTCTGATGTAAAATTTAATTTGGCGTGGCTCACGGGAAGTCGTAGTACATTTGATTTTCAGAGCCGGGTCAACCTTTCCGGTCCCAGTTTGTACTGTACCTAGCTCTATGGACAGGACTAGCCAGTGCAACAAGGTTGACGCGGTCAGACTTTATGCTTCATATAGGTTGAATTTACTTTTACGAAAGGGGCAGATGTGCGTGGTCTATTTAAAAATAGAGTCCTATCCCCTTTTCCGAAAATTTGGCTTCTGCATGACGTCATTTAATGCAGGAAGAATAATTTGATTTGATTTAAGTGCCGAGATAACAGTACTGAAGCTAGAGCTGTTTAATTATTCTCTTCAAGCCTTACACTATCTCTTAAACTCAAAGAAAAAGATAAATCTTGTAAGAAATATTCTTTTGCTGTTTTCTAACAAAATATTCCCCCCCCCCCCGGCCTGCTCATCACACCATTCTAATCAACAATGCAAAAGGGAAAGGTATATGCAATATTACTGTTACGACTGTTACGAGAAAAATTTTTTCTTTTCTCTTCTCTCAATAACTTTTCAAACAGAGAAAATATTTTTGAAAACACGATAGATATCATTAAATAGAATTTAACAAAAAATCCTTTAAATTATACTATTCATTAAAAGTCACAAAATTTCACGGTGTCAAAAATGAGAGTGCTAGTACAAAAAAACTACAGGGGGGGGGGAGCGTTTGGCCTGTTTAGAGTTTATTGGGGTGTAAGTGTAATTTCAAATGCAAATATGGCAAGGCCCGATTTACAACGGTTCCCTTGATACCTGTAACTGAATGATAATGTTGAAAGTGCAGTCGTTTTTCTGTTTAATTTTATAATTCAATTATATGTTTTCATTCAGTAGATATGCACAAGTAACTTTGTATAGAAACCACAAATCAAAATATTAATTCATACTTGATCAGACAAAACTTTTAAGGGCTGTCTGATGTTGTGAATCGGGCATTGCCATCTTTGCATGGAGGGTTCCTTGAAATTATGCTTACAGTCCCTTTAAATATAAAATATGTGAAGTTGTTGGTCCAATGTTGGTAAAGTGTTGGTTTTGGTAAAATCGATATGATATTAATATTGCATAAAGTGCGTAGACTCAGGGGAGATGGGGTGAGTCAGCGACGCTATTATAGAATTCAGGAAAATGCGCAAACCGAGACATATCATTGTGAGTGAACTATAAGTGAGGGGGGTAGGGTTTATGCACACATTTGATTGTAACGCAATTTGAACGTGAGAAACTTCCACTGTTACAATTGATCAGCAATAACTTGTGCACTATTCTGATAACGCAAATATTTATTGATTTTATTTAGAATTAGACTTTATAAAAGCGTTTGACAAAAATGAATATAGGGAGGGGTTTTAAAAAATTCTGCTTTTCACGTTGCTTTTTATATTTTTATCTAGATTTTTCGTCAAATTTTATGAATTATAGATAACACTTTAATTTTGACTAGGAAAAAATTTCTTAATATTTATCAAATTACAATGTCTACATGTCTACCTGTATACCTGTCTACCTGTCTGTACTTGTCTACCTGTCCACCTGTCTACCTGTCTTCCTGTCTATCTGTCTACCCATTTACCTGTCTACCTGTGTACCTGTCTACCTGTCTACCTGTCTACCTGTCTACCTGTCTACCTGTCTACCTGTCTACCTGTCTACATGTCTACCTGTCAACCTGTCTCCGTAAAACTTTCTTACCATCATTTCTATTGGCTGGTGGTTTACGTGTGGCCCAGTTGGTCCGGATAGATCTAAAAATAAAATTTAAATTTATGAAAATATTTCGAAAATGTATTAAGCTAATTGCTTTCAATTTAACACTTATATTCGAAGAAATAGCACATGAAGAGAATAAGCCACTATGGTCCAGCAGACTGCTTTTTTGTTGCAAAATATGCGCTGTGTCAACTACGTCCAGCAGTACACTATGCGGGCCGGTACAAGTAAACTGTAGACTAGTATCTTTGTACTGGTCCGGTTTATGCAACACTTGGTCTTATGTGAAGCTTATCCATGCACAATGAACTACCCCAGAAAATATGCGGGGTTAATATATTGGGATGTATATTTGTAAATTAATTGATAAATACGGGAAATATGAGATACAATCTAATTCTTTGTTTCTATATCTCTATGATTTTATTTAAGCTGAATTTTTCTAATCCTCATATATTAGGAACTTGATGGTGTAAATCTTATTAAATTTAGACTATTTTATCTAGTAAAATTCACAGTTTGATTTACGACATCAGGGAGAATATTTGATAAATTGGAGAGGGCTACTTATAGTTGCATCTACCTGAACTGGCCATATGTAATTCAGATATCCAGCTCAAAGTCATTAAATTTGGTAGCAGATGGTTTAATAGTTTTACATTTGAAAATTTAAGTTTGTGGCAAGTACTCAGTTCCTTAGTTAACATTTAAATGCATTCAGCTTGGATAGATAGGCGAATATACATATAGATATATAGACGAATATATATAGATCTACGGATTAGATATATAGATATATTATTCATGATATAGCTATAATTAACATATATATTACATATTATCCGTACTAAATCTCTGTTCGCATCCACTCTTAAGAATTTTGCTCGTTTTCTAAGAGCAATGGACACAAAAGTTTCTCTTTCAAAGAGATGTGATGTATAGGATAAAATAAATGGCTGAAATGAACTGTAAGCAATATTTCAAGTGAACCTAGATGCAAAGATGGCAATGCCACGTGGATTTAACGGTTTCTGTCAATATTAAAGAAAGCTGTGACTTTCGATCCCAATTTGACCCATTAAACATAATTTGTGAGCCTTTTTTCTTAAATACTTTTTGTTGGCATATGCATTTTAAATGAAAATGTAATTCGTAAAGTAAATGATTATTGAATTATAAAGACCAAAACACGTTTGATTTCAAATAGAAGAAACCGAATGCTGCTCACTCTGGTTAGTCCAGTGTAATGCCCAATTTGCAATGGTACCCTAGACATCTTTGGCTAAAAAGTATGAATTATAAATCAATTTTTTTATTTCTTTAAATTGATTATTTTTATTTGCGTTTTCTCACCGAAAGTGACTTTCTAATTTGAAAGAATAAATGGAGAAACTCAAAGAAATAAAAAACGACGGCATCTTCAACATTTTTGATCAGATTAAGGTTTCAAGGGTACCGTTGTAAATCAGGAATTGCTATTTTTGTATAGAGGGTCACTTGAAATTCAGCTTACAGTTCTTTTAACATCTTTGTTTTAAAAAGAACAGGATTAACTTCTAGGTTTCTGATTTTTTCAGACATTTCCATCTTTGCATGAAGGTTCACTTATAATTATGCTTACTGCCCCTTTAATTTTAATTTTATCTTATTTATATAATCGTGTACTATGCTACGTAAGTTGCAAGATAGCATTAAAAACCTGAAATGTATTTGTCTCAAACAAATTAAGGAAAAAGAGGTTGTTTAACACTTTTTTTAAAGTTTAAGAATATTTAGACTTTATTTTTGAAATGTGATAACTTTGATTGAACTCAGTAATGCAAGACGGAACACGTTAAAATAAAACCAAAAAACAAAGCATAAAGCACTTCTATAAGTTTTTTTTATTAGGAAAAATCCTAAGAACTTGATGACTTAAAATTTCTTTTTTTCAAGTTCCTTTATTTTTGCAACCTGGTGATATTTATCAATAATTATCAATTACAACAAGTGGCATCTGTTAATACCCATGGTGATGTTTCAGTAGAAGTAAATATTTCCATTTACTGATAGCGCCGATTGAAAGATTCATAACTCTGATTGGATACTGAGATAAATAGAAATATAGATGTTACCGCCATACTATTTTTATTGGTTCAGAATAGACAACAAACACATGACTGAACCCTTATTGGATCAGGCGCTAATGGACTCAGCATACAGGAGTGGATTTATGGGCATGCGCATGAAATGTAACAAAACCAGACTTCATGACCAGGTATTTTAAAATTTTGTTTTTAAAACTAATTTAATCATCTTATCTTTCCAATCAAATATTTGGACAGATATTTGGAAAAGCAAAATCTAAAAAAATGTTTTTGATATTCAATACCTTGATCCAAGCCACTGTCCGTTCATCAAGGCGATGGCGTTCTCTGCCTCGACTTTCTTGACGAAGCTGACGAACCCGTAGCCCTTGGATTTCAACGTCTGGGGATCCCGAACAACGCGACAATCACTGCAACAAAAAATTTAAGAAAAAATTGTTGATTTAAAGAAAAACATTTCTAAAGGACTGAAGGATTTACAACGGTACCCTTGAAACCTTTATCTGATTAATAATGTTGAAGATACTGTCGTTTTTTTTTCTAGGTTCAAAAGTCCTAATTTTGATAATTTTTTATATGTTTTCTTGCAGTAGAAATGCGCAAGTCACTTTTGTGAAAAACCACAAAATTAAAAATAATCAGTTTTAAAAACTTTTAAAATTTGTATCTAATTCTTACTTGATCAGATAAAGATTTTCAGGTTTCCGTTGTAAACTGGTCATTGTCATTTATGTATCGGAGGAACACTTGAAATTACGCTAACAGTCACTTTAAAAGCGTTGATTAACAACTCACAACAGTACCCTTGAAATCTTCGTCTAAGAAGAAATGATAAATGAATAAAAAGTCATTTCAATATAAATCGACAATCCATTTCATGTTGAAAAAAAAAAATATAAGTTTTTGTATTGAAGAATAATATCAAAATACAGTGAGAGCAAGGGAGTAATAAAAGATAAACGTGAAATAAAATGTTCAATCAAAATAAAACAAAAACAAGATTTTCAACAGACTTTCAACATTGAAAGAAGATAATTCAAAACCTAAAGCAAGGCATCAAATAAAAATGTCCAATTATGGCATCTTTAGTTCTCTATCAAAATCCAAAAAAAAAACGTTTTCAAATATCTTTTAATTTTTATTAAATACTGCGCGTAATGAACTGTAAATAGTTTTTAAAACACAAAAAATATTAAATAATTAACACAATGTGAAAGTTCATTTACATTTAATCCAAGACATTTAAATCACCGTGCTTCACAGGAATTGAGATGTATTGGTTTGATTGTCATTGTGGCGTTACTTTCAACACCAATTTTACTCGCCATGTGGATACTTGCGATTTACGTAACAAATTCAATCAGTTTAATTCAATCTAAAACTGTAAACATATGGTTCATTTCAAGTACCGAGCCCACGTTTAAGCAACTATTGTAAGCTGTACACAAACGGCCTATATCAGAAAAACGGGAGAGGGCACCAATTGTATCATCCTTTTCTCAAGCTAATATAGGGGTTGGGGGGGTTGGGAGAGGGCGGTGCTAGAAAAATATTAAAACTTACGAGATATCCCCAAAAGGTAGGAAAGCCTCTTTTAAGGTCTGGGTCTCAATCTCAGGGCTTAGGTCTCCAACAAATATGTGGTAGTGCTCTAAATATATAATTATCATTATTACTGTTATTATCATTATCAGTATTATTATTTTATTTTTATTATTATTTTATTATTTACAGAAAGATCATTATCTACTTCTATAGATACACCATCAAGTTGCAGTGCATAATCTATATATTTATATATTCATCCATATATATATATATATATAAATATTCGACATATCTACAAATATTTAAACCAGTTTTCCAATATTTGACAAATACCCCTGGATTAAAATTTTCCAACATTGTTCTAATAGTTCAATGCTATAAAGAGAGGAGCAGAGTTGAGAAGGGTCAGAGAGTATAAATGAGTACTAGAGCAAGGTCAATGAAAATGAGTATGTACAAATAAAGTTCAGAGAGGATCAAAGAGTTTAAATAAGGAAAGAGTAACCTAATGTCGGAGACTATAACTGAGAAGAATTATAAATTTAATGCTATGCTCTGTGATATATTTAATCTGAAGGGACTGTTGCTGAATTCTCAGTAAAAATTAATAATCTGTGAGTTTAGAGCTCTTCTCTCTGGAAATAGCTTTGTCAAACTTTAGCAAAGATTGGTTTGGAGAGAGGTGGATACCGTTTTAATTGGTTGGTTTGGTAAATTATCATGAATCTGTTTGGCTAGTTTTGTGTTCAATAGTATGATTTAGTATAGTTCTGATAAACTTGTTTTGGGTTAGTTTTGTGTAAAATGATATGGTTTGGTCTAGTTATGATGAACATGTTTGGTTAGTTTTGAGGAATACATTATGAATATGATACTAGCTCCCCCCCCCCACCACCAACCAGCCTCTTTTAGGAACAACCATATGGGTGTAAGTTAATACGAGCTATTGATCCAATGTATTCTTCAATCTACACTTCTTATATCCTTCTATCCATACTTCTTCATATCTATCCTTCTATCCTTCTATCCTAATATCCTCCTATTATCTATTAGCTTCTTTCTATTAATCCTTCTATCCATACTTTTGTCTTTCTTTCCTTCTATCCTTGTATCTATACTTATTTCTATTCTTCTTTCTATCCTTGCGTTCATATTTCTTTCTATCTAAAAAAGGGTTATTGTATATTTGACTAACTCTGTAGTCTGTACAGTGTACATATTCTGCTATGTATGCATAATAAAGGGTTATTGTGTATTTTACTAATTCTGCACAGTGTACATATTCTGCTATGTGTGCATAATAAAGGGTTATTGTGTATTTTACTAATTCTGTACAGTGTACATATTCTGCTATGTATGCATAATAAAGGGTTATTGTGTATTTTACTAATTCTGTACAGTGTACATATTTCCCCCTAGGTTGCATTGTGTAATGTATTCAAGTAATGATAAGCAAACATTAATTAACAAAGAAGGGACGGAGGGAGGATGGATGGGAGGGGGAATGAGAAGGAAAGGAGGAAGGTTTATTTATTTCTCACCCAAAGAACCAAAAATACCATTAAATCTTGCATAAAATTTTAGATTTCAGTTTCTTTTCTCTCTTCTCCTTTCTTTGTTTTCCTTTCTCTCTTTTCATTTCTCTCTTTTTCTTTCTATGTTTTCGTTTCTCTGTTTTCCTTTCTCTGTTTT